AGTATTCTCATATACGTGTGATGGAGCAACAGTGGTTCTTGTTTCTAGATTATGTTAGAATGAATGAAATATTAATGTAATGCACATAATTATACAGTTCTGTATTTATTGTCATCCTTATCTTCTTTTCCTCCTAATTATCCATTCTTTTCTTTCCTAAAATTTTCATTCTTCCTCATATCCTTCTGAATGCTGGAATTAGAGATATGCAATGCCATACTATATTTATGTTATTATTTTATGTATACAATCCTGAGGGATCAGAGGAGGGACTTCTAAGCCCAGACTAGGATATGGGGGCATTGAGAAAGACCTTGAACAGATTCCATTGACATAAAGGGATGGGATCTTGAAGGATGAATTGTAGTTGGCCAATGAGGTAGAAGAAGGAAAATGAGAAATGGAGGGTAGACTTTGTATAAAGACAGAAGGTTGTCCTATGACCTATCACTATCTATGCTGGATAGTTTTATGTCAACTTGTCACAAGCTAAAGTCATCCAAGAGGAGGGAACCTAAAATGAGAAAATGCCTCCATATGATCAGGCTGTATGCAAGCTTTTAGGGCATTTTCTTATTGATTGATGTGGGGAGGCCTAGTCCATTGTGGGTGGTGCTATCCCTGGGCTGACAGGCTTGGGTTCTATAAGAAAGCAGGCTGAGCAAGTCATGATGGACAAGTTCATAAACAGCACTCCTTCATGACCTCTGCATCAGCTCCTGTCTCCGGGTTCTTGCCCTGTTTTCAGTCCCTGTCCTGACTTCCTTTGATGATGAACTGTGATGGTGAATTGTAAGCTAAATAAACTCCTCCCCCAAGATACTTTTGTCATGATGTTTCATCTTAGCATTAGTAATCCTAATTAAGACACCATGTTTCTCAAGGTGTATAAAATGAAGCCAGTGTTAGTGCTGGCTGTACGTAAGGATATTTTAAGTAGTTTGTTCTACCTTTTTTATTATTTTAATTTTAAATAGCTTGCTTCACATGTCAATTCCAGTTCCCTCTCCCTCCCTTCCTCCCTCACCCCCCACACTATCCCCCCCAGCCTCCCACCCTATGGCCACTTCCTTCCACATAGGGGATATCCAGACTCTGTCATTTCACTCAGGGCAGGGTCCAGGCACTCCCCTAAGAGTCCAGGCTGAGAGAGCATCCCTCTTTGTGGTATGGACACATGAAGTCCGTTTGTATGCCAGGGTTAAACACTGATCTGCTACCCAGGGCCCCATAGGTTGCCCAGGCCTCCTCACTGACTCTCACACTCAGGAGATCTGGATCAGTCCCATGCTGGCCTCCCTGTTGTCGGTCTGGGGTCCCAGAGCTCTCCCTTGTTCAGATCAGCTGTCTCTGCTGGTTTCGTCAGCCCATTCTTTGCCAATTTGCTCATCACTCCTCTCTCTCTGTCACTGGGTTCCATGGGTTCAGTTCAGTGTTTAACTGTGGGTGTTTGCCTCTGCTTCCATCAGTCACTGGATGAAGGTTCTAGGATGGTTATAGGTTGAGTGGCGGGTAGAATAGGGGGAAGAGGGAATCATAGGATAGAAGACAGATCTGGCACCAGTGAGACCCCTAGTGATCTAAAGGGTTGACACCAATTAGCAAGCTAGGCAATAGTGGAGAAACCACCTTAAATGCCCATTCCTGATAATGAACTTGTTCTACCTTTTAATGACTGGGTGTCCTTGGATAAGCAACTTAATACCTCAGAGGTATGGTTGTTTTCATTTATAAAACAATAGTACTATCCAGCACATTTTATAATGCTATTATAATAAGATAAGGAAAGTATCAAAATGAAAACAAATTGCTTTTAGGAGCATAAATACAAAATTCCAAAATAACATTTTAGCTATCTGAATCTCACAGTAATAAAAATGTATCATGAGGTGCTTAGAGAGATGGCTCAGTGGTTGAGTACTTGCTGCCCTTTTAGAGGACCTGAGTTCAGTTCCTAACATGCACATCAGGTGCCTCAAAATGTTAGTGACTCCAGCCCCAGAGGATCCAATGCCTCTGGGCTCTTCAGGTACCTATATTCATGTCCACATACTTCGCTCCCCTCCCACAAAATACATTAAAAATATTAAAAATACTCAAAATCAGCCCTGGAAACCAAGCTTCATTATTCATGTAAAGAAGAAAGTCATGTATTTATCTTAGTAAATCTAGAACTGAAGAGGAAGTCATTAGCTTAGTAATGACTGCATGATAAAAACCTATAGTAAACATTAGTTAATAGAGAAACTTCAAATATATTCCTACATGAGGAAGAAGATAGGGTACCCATTCCCATGGAGCTGTTTAACCAGATTCTGCAGGGTCCAACTGGCACGCTAAGCATGGAAATTTTAGTAATGTGTCAATATGGGAATATATAAATTGCCAGGCTTTGCAGATGATGTAACCACTTAATGCAAAAAAATATTATCATTAATTATCAGCGTAGGCCTTATTTGAAATTTAGACAGCATATGAATTATAAGTCATTTATGAAAATCATCAATGTTTTCTACATTTGCCATATTTAACCAGTATAAGTAGTGACACCTTTTATATTAATAATAAATACTTTAAGACATGTGGTATTTCATGCTATCAAATGTCTTGCCTTATTATTTTGCAGATATTAATTCAACTCAAATTAATCTGTAATTCAAATTTAGTTTGATTTTTATCCTAGCAGTCATTTGAAAGTCTTGAGTCACCAACAGATTATCTTATAAAAGGAATTCTGTTTTATAATTGAAATTTTTATTTTTCAATGTAAAGGAATAATTTTCTATAGTGTTTCACATATAGTAATATTCTTTTTTAAAATTAATATTTATTTTAATTAAAAACAATCTTATTTTACATATCAATCCTAGTTCCCTCTCCCTCCCATCCTCCCATGTCCCCCACTAACCCCCCATTCCACCCCCTATCCACTCCCCAGGGAGGGTGAGACTTCCCATGGGGGATCATCAAAGTCTGTAACATCATTTGGGGCAGGACCTAGGCCCTCCCCTGTGTATCTAGGCTGATAGAGTATCCCTCCATAGAGAATGGGCTCCCAAAGCCCATTCATGCACTAGGGACAAATACTGGTTCCACTTCCAGAGACCTCATAGACTGCCTGGCCTCCTAACTGACACCCACGTTCAGGGGGCCTGGTTCGGTCTTATGCTGCTTCACCAACTGTCCGACTGGGGTCCATGAGCTCCCACTTGCTCAGGTCAGCTGTTTCTGTGGGTTTCCCCAGTGTGGTCTTGACCCCTTTGCTCATCACTCCTCCATCTCTACAAGTGGATTCCAGGAGTCTGGCTTAGTGCTTGGCTGTGAATTTCTGCTTTTACTTCATCAGCTAGTGGGTGAAGTTCTATGATGGCATTTAAGGTAGTTATCAGCCTCATCATAGGGGAAGGTCATTTAAGGTAGCCTCTCCACTATTGCTTAGATTCTTAGTTGGGGTCATCCTTGTGGATCCCTGGAGATTTCCCCAGTGCCAGGTTTCTCGTTAAGCCCTCAATGGCTCCCTATATTAAGATATCTCTTGCTCTTCTTCTCTCCAACTTGACCTTTCTTATCCCTTATGTTGTCCTTCCCCTCCCCTTCTCTCCTCATCTTTTTCCAACCCCTCCCCCATGCTCCCAATTTACTCAGGAGATCTTGTCCCTTTCCCCTCCTCAGGGGTCCATATATGTCTCTCTTAGGTTCCTACTTGTTTCCTAGCTTCTCTGAAAAAAAAAACAGAATTCTTAGAAGCATGAAATACTTTTCAAATATTGGTAACACATCATTCAAAGTCAACATGGTGAAAACAGTTTTAGAGGGCCTCTATCACCTACACTATTGTCAGTATTTTCTTCTAAATTACCTCAGCAGTTTACTAAGCATGAACATGTAGTGGCTTTTCGAGCCCAAATTTCCAAAAGTCCTTACACAGTCCTCCCCCAAAACTGGTCAGGTGTCTGTCTCAGCCCTACTCCACTCTCTGATACCAGTCTCTGTCTTAGTTAGGTTCTTATTGCTGTGGTAAAACACCATGACTAAAAGCTACTTGGGGAGGAAAGGGTTTCTTTGGTTTACAGATCACAGTCAATCACTCAGGGAACCAGGGTAGAACTCAAGGCAAGTACCTGGAGGCAGGGACTGAAGTAGAAGCCATGAAGGAATGCCTCTTGCTCCTCATGGCTTATTCAGCCTGCTTTCTTACACATTCCAGGACCACCTACCCTTGGGTGGCACCACTGAACAGTAAGCTAGACCATCACACATCAACCATTAGTCAAGAAAATGCCACACAGGCAAGTCTACGGGCAATCTGATGGAGGCATTTTCTCGACAGAAGATCCTCGTCTCAAATAACTTCTGTCAAGCAGAGAAAAAAAATCAGTACAATGACTCTGTGACAATTTTGTATTGTCAGTGTTTCTTTAGAAGCTGTGTGCCTTACACTTGGCTGAACAGCAGAGAAGTTAATTATATTTTATCTCCAAGGAGAGTGAAGACTGAGTCCTCCATCTCCCATAAAGCTTGCTGTGAAGTCTTGTTTCCTATCTAAATCTTCCAGGATTCCTTTTGTCTTGGGATGGAAGCTGTTTGAAGTCATTCAGATTCATACAGATTAACCTTTCCTGGGTATGTTTACTTCACCTCTGTGTTTCCTTTTTAAGGTCAAATGAATGATAACAATATGTGAAGGGAAGAAAGGGTGTTCAGCCACAGAGACCCTCTCTGAGTGCCATTGTTGGAGCAAGAGCTTGTAGAGGCTTCAGCTCAACCAGTAGGAAATGCCTTTTTGTAGTTAGAGTGATTTGGGTATGTAGCTGAGGAAGTCAAAACTGCTGACATCAGTGCAAACCAGCACATTTTGCACTAGCTTTAGTTTTTCTTTCCTTCCCAGGAACTGCAGGAACTGACCACATGAAACCCAAAACTGTATCTTTCATTCTCATTACTAAGTTCATAGTATTAAACCATAGAAATTTAATGCAAAGCTTCTGTTCCATGTCTAGGAGAGGAAGAAGAAATTTGAAAAGGATGGTGAGAGGTTTTACTCATTACTGGACCGGCACTTACATCTGTCATCCAAAAAGAAAGAATCTCAGTTGCTAGAGGTATGTTTACAAAGTCTATTCCTGACTCCAACTTGTGCTGTGGCTTAGAAACCACAGTCATTTCTCCTTAAAATGACTCAACAGGGGCCATGTAAACATTTGCGGGGAATACCTGACTGAGGCCTGGACCCAGGTCTCTGAGTCTTGAGCCAGTTCCTCCACTAACTTCCTGTGTTCAGGAACTTTATTTCTGGCTTCAATCCCACTTTGTGCAAGAATGATACTCAAGAATCTCCAGTGTCACTTTTAATTCCAAGTTCCTAAGTCTGTGATTCTAGACTATGTTTGGATAGAGTTAAACTAGTATTGTATTTGGTATATTGTAAGACCTCGGCATCAAAGCGCCGGGCACCGAACCGAATCCTCTGCCCAAGGACGGGGCCAGACCACTGGATGCAAATGCAAGAGGCGATTTATTGGGTACATAGGCGCCTGTGGATGCTACTGCAACTCGGGTGCAGAGCATACCGGGCTTGTAGGGAGTACACTATTTATGGAGTTTTAATGGTTACATAAGTATCAGCATAGCAACAGGTATTTCATTGGCTACTTAAGCATGGGCTGAGATCATCTTGGGGGCAGGGGTAGTTGCCAAGGACTAGGTTTCCTACATGAAAGACCCCGGCACGCTTCAGCAATTAGTATCCGGGTCTCATGATTGCTATAGTGATCAGACACAATTGGGGGCCAGGGTAGTTGCCAAGGACTAGATTTTCTAGTATTGTCATATGAAAGTTCCCAGCACGCTTCAGCAATTATTATCCAGGTCCCATGATTGCTATAGTGATCAGAGACATCCTGTTTTGAGGGCGAGACACCTAGTCTGGGTTTTTCCACTAGGCAATGGCTTGGCTTTGTTTTTCTTTTCCTAGGGGGGGGGGCCCTGGGTAGGGGTCTTTCAATATAAGGAGCAGACATTTTCTCTTTGTGGTGTTCCATTACCTGTTTTGGTGGGGGCAGGAAATGTTGCAATAGGGCAACTGCTTCTATGAAACTTGCTGTGACTACTATTCTCCCAAGCCACTATTAATAGATATTTATCAAATCATCATTACACCGGGTGGAACAAGACCACAGGGACACCAATACAACCTCCTTGTCCTTTTATACCTTATGGATGGGATTCTAAGTTAAGAATGTGCATTAACCTCATAGTAGCAAGGCTCTTTCTGTACTGTAAAATGTGTGTTTATATGATAGTCTTGAGGGACATGGGGAATGAGAAGTTGAAGACTTATGTCTGGATGGAGGAATTCCCTCAATGGAAGAAAGGTGCTTTTATAATTTGAGATAATCATTTGACAAAAGATAAAATGTATGACAGATATGACTGGAGAAACCACCCTAAACCTAAGCTAGTAGCCTCAAGGCTGAAAGGCATGAGATAGTCTTAAGAAGTGATTTCTGCCTGGTGCACGCCTTTAATCCCAGCACTCGGGAGGCAGAGGCAGGCGGATCTCTGTGAGTTCGAGGCCAGCCTGGTCTACAGAGCGAGTTCCAGGACAGCCTCCAAAGCTACAGAGAAACCCTGTCTCGAAAAACAAAAAAAAAGAAGTGATTTCTTCAGAATTGATATTACTCTAAAAGACTAGTAAAGGCAAGATAGTGCAATCAAATGCAATGGGTTCACATTTTAGCTAGAGCGAGGAAGGAAGGAAGAGAAAAGAAAAACATGGTTTAGACATCAAAGAGTGGAGAAATATTTATTATCTGCAGCAGGCAAGGAGAGCACAGGGATACATTCCAAAGTGATGCTGTCTGAACAAAAGGAGGGTGAGGGAATTTCTAGAGAGGCTATTTTAATAGTGTCTCTCTGTACACAGCTGCTTATGCGGACAGTGTGACTTTTCTTAAATACCTGTTCCTCAGACAGTCTAGAATTATGACACATGCTAGGCAGGGAGTGCCTATGTTACCAGGCCCAATGAAAACCTAGGGGAATCATCAGTCTGTAGAAAGCCTTCTCTGGCAGCTATTTTTACTCTGTTATATTTTACTAAGCGAGGTATTTCATGTATCCTTTGTGAAACTGCTAAGGAGTCTATTATAGCTTATATACAGTTTCCTCTAGACTGGATCTCTCACACCTTTCCTCTTTGCTGACTTTTTTCCTGGAAACAAATGCTGTCTGAGATTATGACTATATGTTGAATCCCTAGTCCTGTGATCCCTCTTAGTGACTACCAAATCTGAAGCTAGCCATAGAGACCCATGGGTATACAGTCCATGTATTGGTGGGGTTTGCTATGAAGACATCTAGAGTGTCCTAGTAGTTTTGTACACTATGTAGGTGTCCTTGTTGGCACTTTGTGGAGGATTTTGTTGTTTTAAAGCAGAGTCTCACCCACAATGTCCTCAGGCTCTCAAAAGTCTCCCTGTTTCTGCCTCCTAAGTGCTGGGATTGTAGGCATAAACCATGATACTCAGCCTTTGTTGACATTTCTGAAGAGCAGGGCTATAGCCATTGTTCTGGTCATTAAAAATGAATTAAAGGAAATTCAGTCACTTTTTTTAAACAAGTAAGTTTTATTTTTTTTTTATTTTTTTGGTTTTACGAGACAGGGTTTCTCTGCATTGTTTTGGAGGCTGGCGGTCCAGGCCGGCCTCGAACTCACCGAGATCTGCCTGCCTCTGCCTCCTGAGTGCTGGGATTAAAGGCGTGCGCCACCACTGCCCGGCTGTAAGTTTTATTTTTTAAAGCTAAGTGTGGTATGTCATTGTTACAATGTCAACACTCAAGAGGCTGAGGCAGGAGGATTACTGTGAATTTGAGGGACGTCTGGGTTACGTAATATAGAATATATAGTGAGACTCTCTGACAAATATAGAAAAGGAAAGAAGGATTGAAGAGATAGAGGAAGAGAGGGAGGGAAAAGGCTGCAATTGTAGCTCAGATGTTCAAGGTCATCCTTGGCTACATAGAGAGAGTGGGGCCACCCTACGACACATGAGACCCTGTCCCCCAAAAGGAAACAAAGAAACAGTCATAGCATTGATAAATCTATTTTCCAGATTATTGTTACATTGCCTCATCTCTCAGAATGGTGTGTAGGATAGGTCTAGGATTTTTTTCTGGAAAGGGGAGGGGGCAAGAAGGAATGTGTACTGGTCTATATCACCAGACCAGTTTTCCCCCTTTAATTTAACTTTTTATTTGATGATTATAAATTCACATATGGTGATAACAAATGAAAGATGTTTCATGTTCTTTAATGAAAAAATTATTGGAAAGTACAGTTGTAAAGTACTCTATCCCAGTATTGTTAAGTATTTAACAATTTCAGTATTGTTAAGATCTTGTGCTTGTTTATTATAGTTGGTGAGCCAGTGGGTTTTATGTTCTGTGGGATATGGGTTGTTTGTTTTTACTGTGTTGAGTTCAGAACCTTGCACATGCTAGGGAGGAGCTGTGATAGTGAGTTACTCCTCTTTTAGTCCCATTCTGTGGGATTTGACAAGTGTGTAATGACATGTGCAGTGTAGTATGATGGAGAATAGCCTCACTGTTCTGAAATTCTCTTGACTCCATGCTCGCTCATCTCAAATCCCTGGTAGCCACTGATCTTCATATTTTTGTCTTTTCTATAACGGTATGTTTTTGGAATCCTACAGAATGGAACCATTTCATATTAACATTTTTATTCAGCAATATGTGTCTATTATTCCTATATTTTTATGACTTGATAGCTAGCTTATTTATTTTCAGGGCTGTTGTCTGGTTGTACCACATATGTATCTTATATCCTAGGGAAGGACATGTTTTCTTCTGAATTTTGGCAGTTATTAATATTACCATGTGCAGATTTTATTGAGGTTGTTTTGGAAAATGCTATAGAGTACAAGAGTTGGGTTGCATTGCAAGTAGATGATTTATTTTGTAAGAACCTGCTATTTTCCAACATGTACCATTCTTCTTTCCAACAAGCTCTGAGATTTTCTTTTGCTTGATGTTCTTATCAGTGTTTTTACTGTTAGCCACTCTAATAACTATACAGTGGTATCGCATTTTTGTTGTTATTTGAAATTTCCCAAATGACATATAGTATTGAACATTTTCTCATATGCTGAGCTGCCGCCTGTCTTCTCTGGTGATCTGTCTGATCTGACACTTTGCTTACTTTAAAATTGAGTCGTTTTCTTGTTGCTGTATTTTAAGAACCCTGTGTATGATGTTAGATGCCAAGCCAATATCAGATACATGTTTTACAATGCTCCAAATATGTGGCTATCTTTTTTATTTTCTTAAAAGGGTCTTGGGTACACACATGCTTTTGGTTTAATGAAAATTTACATATCTGTATTTTCAATGAATCATGCTTCTGATGTATCTAAAATTCTTGCCAATCTAAAGTCATGTAGAATATCTGCTCCCTCATCTTGCTTTGTAACAACTCAAACTCATGTCTTGCTGTTTTAGACTCTTGAGTACTGTCATATGTGAGTATCATCACACATGGCCAGATTTTCTCTGTTATCATATTCCAAGAGTTTTAAAATAGTGTCCCATTGGTTTGACTAGGGAATTGCACCCATGAAATCGCAATAATTTAGTTTCTTTAAAAACGACTGGCATAATTACAATATCAATTGACATGCCAATGTAGATAGTGAAAGTTTTAAAAATAAAAATTATTATTTTTGCATTTCAGTGTGGAATTTTTATGTATCTATCTCATTATTTTCTTATTTGCTCTGCCTAGTTCTCCATCCTCCTCTTGCTGGTACTCTTCCTCCCTAAATAGTCCCCACTTCTGTTTTCATGACACACACTTGCCATCCTTTCTTGTTCCCCCCCTTTTTAGACCTCTCGTTCTCTCCTAGAGCTTTCCCACTTCTTAGTCCTACAAAATCACATATACACATAAGTCAAGTACAGATTCTGATTGAGAGGGGTGATGTGGTATTTTTTTCTGGCTTTGTCTTATTTCACTAAGCCTGATGATTTCTAATTCTGAAAACTGCATGACTTCATTTTTCTTTAATGCTAAACAAAATGTTTATGTTTCTCATTTTCTATATCTGTTCATCTGTTGATGGGCATTAAATCTGGTTGCATATCATGGCAATTGTAAGTAGTGCAATAATAGACATGGATGTGAAATTTTTCTGTAGTATGCCACCTTAGAATCATTTGGGTGTATACATAGGAGCTGTGTATCTGGTTAATATGATAACTCTTTCATTTTGCCAAATCCCCAGTTAATTATCTTTGATTCTCTGTTCCATTCTTTCTCCCATCACTTGTATTCTGAGGACACATATGCCACACATTTGTCTAGCAGTTCTCAGATGTTTCATTTTGTTGTCTATTCTCTTTGTATTGATGCACATTCAAACTCAGTGATTCTTTTTTCTTTCCTGTATTGTGAGGACTCTTACTCAGGACCCTGTACATTCTAGGTGGGTGGTGTACTTCTGAGCAGTATCTCCAGGCCCAGACTTAATCTTTCCTCACCCTTATTCAGACTGGTGAGCCCAATAAAGCATGCTTCATTTCTGTTACAGGGTTTAGACTTCTGGCATGTCCTTTGGATCCATGCTTCAGTTTCATCTGTCTTCTAATATCATACATCTGTTGCTGCATATTGTTGTCCTTTTCCACTAGAACCCTTTTCATTTGACTATAGTTGCTTGCAATCCATGGTCTTCGCATGCTACAGCTTCTGCCTACACCTCATTCGTTTCTGATACTTGTTATCTTGCTTCACATTGTTTTTTCCCTCTTTGCTTTTCTGCTTAAAAGGCAGAGAGGATGTTTGGATAAAGAAACTGAAGTAAGTGCTTAGTGTGAGGTTTCATTTTTAATTGGCTAGGACTTAAGTTGGGCTTAGTTTGTTGTTGCTGTAGTTCCTTTGGAGCCCTTGCTTTGTCCTTGTATTTTCTTAGCATTTTCTACTTAATTTGGGTTAGTAGTTCCTGTGTGAGAGTGGTGATTTCCCCAGCACTGAGCGCCTTTCACCCCTTGCGTCTGTTCTCACGAGTTCCCATTCTCTCCATTCACCTATAGTCTAGTTTTTTGCAGCAGCACTTATCTCCTATTTTCTGTTGGTTTTGAGAAGAGAGATTTTCCAATTGGTTCAGCCCTTTCCTTGATCTGAAAATCAGTTTTATGATTTCCAAGCTTCCTCCATGGTAGACCAGAAATAGAAAGTCTTCATTCTTTAATCTCTTGGTTTCATATTCCCTCTCTGTAAAATAGAAATAAAGAAAACAATAGAAACAGGATATTTTCAGGTGGCATAATGCCTCTTTAGCTGTAGAATCTGATCTGCTAATTCCTGACTTTCAAAAATGACCATGCTCACTTGTGACATTTGTTGCCCTCTTTCTACAGGCAGACCTCCAAGTGGATAAGGAAAGGTACAATTTCTTCGAGTCCTCTCTTGATTATGTCTATCAAATCCAGGAAGTTCAAGAGTCCAAGAAGTTCAATATTGTGGAACCAGTAAGTTCTATTTGTTGGTGAATATTCTACAAAACAAAATATTTCCCAAATCCTCAAGCGAATCTGGCCAACTTTGGTCATAAAATTGGAAGGTCAAAGAATAAAAGTCAGTTCATGCTCAATAATGTATGTCAAGAACATCAGCACATAGGTTTATATTTTTCTTGCTCTTTTGGCAGTGTTCACTCTCTACCTTACCACGTTTATACCGTTTTCTCTCCATTTATGACCATTTTCTTTCATCATTTTCTTTTTTTCAATGATTCAATCCCCACTCCTATTTCTATGTCTCACTTTATTTTTTCTCCTTTAAAAGTAATATTTTATTAAGTCTTAGAGAATTTGGTACAATGTGTCCCACACCATGTCTTCCCTTAACTCCTCCCAGACTCACCTGTCTATCTCACATCAGCAGTCCTGGCTCTTAACAATACTTCTGCCCCCTTTCTGTGATGTCCCCAGAGCCTTATGGGTAGGGGTTGTATTCTAAATGTATTGATTGGAGGCAGGGATTCTACCATCACTTTATTTCTGCTTATTGACCAGTTGTGGTTTCTATTATCTTCATCTACTGCCAAAATAAGTCTTATTTGATGATGGGTGAGAGCTGGATATAAGGATGAGTATTTAGAACAAAGTTGCAGTTTATGATGGTTTAGTGGCAGGAGTGAGTTCTCTAGGTACCATGGTCTCATAAGACACAGGTAGCTGGCTAAATTAATAATGCAAGTTATGAATTCCCTTCTCTTAGATGAACCTTAAATCCAATTCGGTGACTGTTGGTTCCTGATGTAAGTGTCACTACTGTTCCTTTCAGGATATCTGGCCATGCTGGTCATTGTTGTTATTCATTGGCAGTATAGTTGGGTAGGACTTGATTGCTTCCCTCCCTTGGCAGCTTACATGACTCCTTCTGAAACTATAAGAACTAATCCTCAGTGAGGAATCGTCCAGGTAAGATCCAAATCAGTTCCTCCAAATCCTTCATCTGCAGTGTGTGGTGTCTTCAGCAATCAGGTCTCATCTTCTTGTCTGAAAGGTGACAAAAGCAGTGGCAATGACCTATATTGTTTTGGGAGAGTCTCTTGGACTGCCCTCACCAACAACTTAAAAGTAGGTTTCATATGCCTGACACTTTTTTTTTGTTGTTAGGTAGTTTATGTTCTTTTAGGGGGAGCATTGTTACTTCAACTGATGTAACTTTAATTAAATATGTTTCTCTTTGTGTAAACACACACTTTATAATTTTAAGGAGCTATTAAAATATGATTCCCATACTGCTTTTCTAAACATCTTTAGAATGTTGCCATCTTTTTTTCCGTCCTTAAGTATGTCTCACCTACTCATATTCCCTCTTAGAGCAAGTGTGTCCTTCAATTCCCTTCTATAGTGCTCCCAGCCAACCCATCCCCTGCCATGTTATCCTTTTACTTTTCTGCTATTTGCAGCTACTCCATGTTATATACACACTTCTGAATATTTGGGGTTAGGGTCTGAGTTACCCACTCAATATAATGGTGTCTGTTTTCGTCCACTTAACAGATGCTTTCAGGATTATATTTTTCTTTATATCTGAATAATATTTAATTGTGTATATTGCCACATTTTCATTATTTATTCCTCGGTTGAAGGCTGTTTGTTTTTATTTGTTAGCTGTTGCAAATAGAGCAGTAATGGTCATTTTATAGTAGGATGCGGAAGCCTTTGGGTATATTGCAAGGAGTGTAGGTAGGTCATACAGTAGTCCACTTTTAGGTTTTTGAAAATTCTCCACACAGATTTTTCAGAGTGGCTGTACCAGTTTGCAATCCCAAGGTGAATGAGGATTCCCTTTCCACACAGCCTCATCAGCATTTGTTGTGGTTATTTTGTGGATCTTGGCCATTCTGAGTGGAATGAGATGAAATCTCAATGTTATTTTAATTTTTATTTCCCTAATTGCTAAAGATAATGACCATGTTTGAGGAGTTTTGCCATTTTTATTTCTCCTTTTCAGTATTCTATGTTCAGTGCTGTAGCCCATTTTTTCTTAAAAATGGTTGCTTCCTTGACTCTTTTTATTTTAGCTTTTAAACATATATCATGGATATTGCTTCTCTTTGGGCATCCTCTCCAACTGAAAGTTTTATTCCTTAGCTGTTCTTAAAATTTTTAGTTTTGTGAAGTTCCACTTGTCAATTATTGGCCTAATTCCTGATCAAATGGAGTCCTGTTCAGAAAATCCTTTCTTACACCCAAATCTGGGAGATACTATCTATGTTTTCTTCTGGAAGTTACATTGTTTCAGACTTTACACTAAGCTGTTCAGTTCATTTGGGTCCATTTTGTGCAGGTTGATAGACATAGACCTAACTTTATTCTTCTGCATGCAGATATCCATTTTTCCAGCACTTTGTGCTGAAGATTCTGTCTTTTTTGCAAAGATTGTTGGCATATTTGAAAAATACTAGGTGACTGTAGCTGCATTTATTCATGTTGCAGTTTTCTGTTTTGTTTCATTGGTCTACAAGTCTTGTTTTGTACAACTATCATGCTGTTTTTATTATTGTAGCTCTGTAATAAATCTTGAGATCTGCATTTTCCTTTTTCTTTTTTCATCTCTATTTTTATTTCTTCTTTGTGTCTTTCACATCATGTACTCCCTCCCCATTCATTTCCCTGTCCCTTCATGTCTGCCCTCTGCCCTCATGTCTAACATCCCCAAAATAAAATAAAATAAAATTTAAGAGAAAAAAAAGAAGAAAAAGAGAGAGAAGGAAAAATCAAAATCATCATGGAAGCTGTAGTTTGACACAGTGAGTCACACAGTAAACTCTTCTATCCATGTATCTTTACTTGCAAGTGTTCATTGCAGAGTCACTGGTCTGGTTTGGGGTCTGTGGTTTCTGTTAAATTATTGATGCTGGGCCCTCACTGGGGCTCCTCTCGGATATCTTATTGTTGGTGTGTGCTGTGGAAATCTTGCAGCTTAGGGACTTCAGGACTGGCCTCTTTGTGTGCTTCAGGAGATCACAGATTGTGGATGTTGGGATGGGCCAACATACAACCCTGGTTCTGAGTCTGGATAGTTGCAGGATTGGTCAGCCCACCAGCTCTCCCCTGTCCTCACCACCAGGGTGAGCTCTCCTGCATGGCCCTGGCTAGGTCACCCCTTGCAGCAATGAGCAAGGGGCAGGGCGGTTCTCCTGGTTTCATGTCCTCAGGGTCAGCTCTCCCACACCTATACCTGCAGGGCTGTCTCTACTGTGTTGCTCTGGCATGTCATAGGGGCCACTCCCCCAAGTGCTGCAGCTGGTAAGGGGCAGGAACAGCTCTCCTGCTCTTATGACTTCAGGACCAGCGCCCCCACCTGCCTCTGGTGTTGATGCACATGGGGGTGGTGGACATTTCTCCCCAGCCCATGCTGGCACACGACAGATGAGTAATGGGGACAGCATTCCCATGCTCACAACATTGGTGGCAGACTCACTCACACCTGCCTGCCACCAGCTGCAACACTCAGGAGAGCAGGCCCTGCACCTCACCTGGGCAGCATAACTAAGCCAGTCCTGTTGGTGAAGGTATGGGTGATCCAGGCCCAAAGTTGTGAGCGGGGAAGAGCTGTCCCCATTGCTCTTTTTTTATGCAGGATTGCTTTGGCTGGTTCCATTTGAATTTTAGGATTTCCCCCCATTTCTCTGATGAATATGGCATTTTGATTGGGAGTGCACTGAACCTGTAAGTTATTTTGGTAGAATGGTCATTGTCACAACACTGTTGTACCAACCCATGAGCATGGAAAGGTGCTTAAATTTTCTTGTGTTTTCCTCAGTCTCTTTCTTTAGATATTTCAAGTTTTATTGTAGAGGTCTTTTTCTTCCTCGGTTGGTTAAGTTCTGGACATTTTTTGAGACAGTTGTGAGTAGAAATATGTTCATGTTCTTTTTTTTCAATGTGCCTGCTATTGATATATGGAATTGTTACTGATTTTTTAAAAGTTATCCTCCACTTTGCTGAAATTGTTGATTATTTCTAGTTTTAGTGTAAATTTTGAAATCTCTCATGTATAGTATCATCTCATCTGCAAATGGGGCTAATTCAACTTCTTTGACTTTTTGTATTTCTTTAATTTCCTTATTTTGATTGTTCCATCAAATGTTCTGAGCACTATATTGCAGAGTCATGGAGACAGTGGACAGCTCTGTCGCACTTCTGATTTTAATGAAATTTTCTTTGAGTCACTCTCCATTTTGGATGATGTTGTCTGTCATATATAACCTCTATTATGTTGATATTTGTTTCCTCCAGTTCTACTTTTTCTAAGACTTTTATCATGAAGACATGTTGGATTTGGTCAAAGGTTTTTTTTTTCTTCTTCTATTGAGATGATCCTGTGAATTTTGTTTTTAATTTCATTTATTTGATTTATTACATTTACTGGTTTACCTGTTTTGAATTAGCCCTGAATCTCTGGGCTAAAACTAACTTGGTCATGGTGGGTAGTCATTTTGATATGTGCCTAAGTACAGTTGGCAATCTTTTTATTGAAGATTTTTTTGCATCTGTGTTTATCAGGGCTATTGGCCTGTAAGATGTGAATGAGTGAGTGTGTGTGTGCATGCTTGCGTACTCTGTGAGTGTTTGTCTTTACCTGGTTTTCTATTAAATAATTCTGGCTTTGTAAAAGGAGTTTGGAAGTATTCCTTTTGTCTATCTTTTAAAAACAATGTAAAACGTATTTGCTCTAGATCTTTGAAAGACTTATGTTTTTCTGCTGTGAATACATCTATCTGGGCTTGGACTTTTTGTCTTTTCCCCCTAGTGCTTTCAGAAAGCTTTTAAAACTGTATCATATACTTCAACCTGTGCTAAGAATGCATAGCCCTTACAATTAATCACTTCCTGCTCTACTATTAAAAACAATATAATTGTTTCTACTAAATTCCCTTTAATTTATTACAAAATTTAGTATATGTTGATTTGAAAATATGCTGACTTTGTATAACTGTTTTTATTACTTACTAAGTGCGTCCATCACAGAAAAGTTTAAAATAGTGCATAGGATGATCAAAAATTCCCTTATATAAAAATAATCTGTATTGTTTATGTAGTATTTTCCCTTCCAAATCATTTGTGTACATAGTATGTCTCTTTTATGTGTTTGAAGTGTAGGTGTGAGTATGAATATGTCTACATATATTGCACATGAGTATGTATGACTGAATAAATATACATGTGTTGATGTCCACATTTTTGTAAGTCTATATGTACTATGTGAAAACTAGTATGCATTCTGCTGAAGAAGCATCAGTATTTTGTTGTAGTCCAGGCTCTGTGTTAGACACTGGGTATACTGTAGTAAACCAGATCGACAATTTCTTCCTTGATGAACATGATACTCTCAAGGGGTAGAAAGAAGGGATGAACTATGCACATAATCCAAAATGTTGCAAGTTGTGATAAGATCTATGAAGGAAGGAAAAATTAGGTCTAACGTGGCAAAAGTTTACATCAGTTGGGTGTGAAAGTGCCATTTAGGTAGAGAGCTAAAGGGGAAAAGCATGGAGTCAATGCCAGGCAGAGACGAAACAACAGCAATAGGAGCACTTAGCAAATTTCCCTGGTGAACATAATTTCAAATAACGCAATAAACTACTTGGAAGCTGAATACAGGCATATATCATCACAAAGATCATTCACCATGACCAAGTTGGCTTTATCCCACAAATGCAAGATTGGTTCAACATATGAAAGATAATACTGTAATAAATCATATAAATGAACCTAAAGATAAAAAAGCACATGATCATCTCAATAGATGCAGAAAAGGCCTTTGACAAAATCCAGTGTGCCTTCATGATAGTGAGAAAAGAATGCTTAGACATTCTCAAAAAATGAAAAGAAGATGTGTGTCTTGTAGAAAGTGATGTATGATTCCAAGGCATGGGATCCATTGGCATAGGATATTATTTGGATGTCAGCCTAAGCACCATGGGAAGCCACTAAAGGCTATTAAGTACGACTTGACAGGGAACAATTTTGATGTGTGGAGAGTGACTTGACTGTTCTAGGAAAGCAATTAAGAAGCTATTATAGACTGGATGAGGTGGCACATACTTGTAGTATCCACCCCAGGAGGAGGCAAAGGCAGGAGAATCATGATCTTAGAGGTCTGCCTGGGATACAAAACTAGACCCTCTCAAATTATGTAAATATTTTAGTTATCTAGACAAAAGACACATTCACTTGAATTAATGTGTTAGAAGTAGAAACAGTAAAGAATATCTAGGTTAGAAAATTATTTTGTAGGGTTGGGGTTATAGCTCAGTTACAGAATGCTTGCATAGCATGTTCAAGGTCCTAGGTTCTATCTCTAGCATTTCAAATGATATTTTGGAGGAAACACTAGCAAAAAAATTCTGTTTAATTTGACTTAAATGTGAGTTAAAGAGAGATCAAGGCTGATTCTTTAGTTTCTGGTTTGATTGACTGCTGAGTGGTGATTTCATTTCTTGAGATGAAGTTTGGGGGAGAAATAGGAAAGATTGTGAATATAAGTATGAGTGCAGTGGACATATCTCTGTACCACATACTTGTCATAAATGTATGTGTTCATTTTATTGCTTTTATGCTTATAGCTTGTTTATGTAGGGTATATACATGTTTATATATTTCATCTAATTGCCTTCTAAAACAAATGGAGCCAGCCGGGCGTTTGGTGGCCCACGCCTTTAATCCCAGCACTTGGAAGGCAGAGGCAGGTGGATCTCTGTGAGTTCGAGGCCAGCCTGGTCTACCAAGCGAGTTCCAGGACAGCCTCCAAGACAATACAGAGAAACCCTGTCTCGAAAAACCAAAAAAAAAAAACCAAACCAAACAAACAAACAAACAAACAAAAAACAAATGGAGCCGTGTATACTTTTACCTATTATGCTTTGCAAATAGTGAACATTTATTTTATATATTTATAATTTGATAAAAGAAAATTGTATTTTCTTTCAGTTTTGTTTACATGTACATTTTGTTTTTGATGGGATTGAATGAAACAATATATTATTATTGTGAGGAATATTTGTGCTATAGCATATATGTAGAGGTCAAGTGACAACTTTGTGGAGTCAGTTCTCTCCTTTGAACTCTTTGTGGGTACTGAGGATTGAATTCAGGTTTGTGATGCATTTGCCTTTACCCCCTGTGCCATCTCACTGACCATGATTCGAATGTATTGAAACTTAAAAAGTGCTCTGCTCATCATTTGTATGTCATCTTCTGCAAGAAGCAACTGCTGTGGGCAACTCCTGTGGATATATACATTGACTATCTGTTACCCAAAATGACTTGGGCCATGAGTGGTTGGGATTGTAGAAAAAAATGGAATATTTTAATTCATATGATGAAATATGTTAAATGGGCCCCCAGTTTAAACACAAGGTCTGTTTATATTTCTTAAACCCCTTATACTTATAACCAGAAGGTTTAATGATATATGTTTATTGTATTTACATTTTTCAACGTGTACCCGAGATTTATCACATGATGCTAGGTGTAAAAACTTCCATATTTGGTCCTATATCGCTCCTTGAAAAATTTCAGTTTTAGATTTGATATTTTTGGCTGAGAGATGCTATACCAGTTTAGAGAAGAGATGCAGTCATTTCCTGCAGCATCTAATTCCTGAGTGGTTTTGTATGTCATCTAGAAAGACCTGGATTTACTATTTACTTTCTGAGACCGAATGAAAGTGAAGTATTTAACCTAATATGAGGATACTTATGTGTGTACCTGCTTGTGCCACCAGGACTGCTCTTAACAGTGTACTTGGTAAACATTCTGAATTTTTTCCCTGACGTCATGGCTCCTCTACTTGTTCAGTTAGGGAGTGCTGGTGATAGATAATTCTCAGTTTCTAAAAGTGTTTTTTGTCTGTCTCCCTTAGGTCTTGGCCTTTCTTCACAGCCTCTTCATTTCCAACAGCTTGACTGTGGAGCTCACACAGGATTTCCTCCCATATAAACAGCAGCTGCAGCTCAGTTTACAGAATGTGAGTTGTATGTGGATGTCTTCACCTGGCTTTCCAGTAGGATGTGAGCCCCAGTGGTTTAAACTTTGGAATTCCAGGTTATTGCACCATAGACAATTTGTCAGGACATTGTGGTGTGGAGTCCAAACATGTTAACATAGTGGCATGTTCTTGCTTTTTCAGGTTTGACTCTTCCTCTCGTTGAGGCTTCCTGCTCTTCAAACCTATCCTCTATTCAGGAATGCCTCTATAAGCATTGGTACTTTACTGTTTCTCTCATAGATCAGAATCCAGCTGTAGGCTTATTTAAATATAAGGCTTATGCCTTAAGCCAATTCAAAAGTTAATTAAGAGACTTGTGGCCTTTGTCATTATGAATGTCCTTACTTATCTTCTTTCTTCTTTCATCACTTAGTAAACAAATGAATTTTAAAGGGCTTCTCCATCTTGTTGTACATATTAGTTCTTATAAATGAACACAAACATGACATTTTATTATTAAAACATGAGAATTTACTGATTTTTATCACTTAGCCCACATTTGATGAGTATTTATGGATACAATGAAAATATACCCCAGTATACCCTATGTAAGACAATGTAGAAGTCCCTGGCATGCCAGAAAGAGGCATCAAGGTTTGTCTGTCTATAGGGATTATATATTTTATTGGGGTAGAGGTATAACCACAGATAAATCATAATCCCTTATAGTATTTGTTGCTATATGGAATCAAACCAACATTTTTAAAGAAGCATAGAGAGTGTAACAGCTGGTAATCAGAGAAGGTGTCACTAAGATTAGGTGACATTGGAATGGGTGCTACATTGCATGACTTTCATAGATGAATTTTTAAATTCAAAATTGCTGTAAGATGCTTGCTTAGGGTGATTGTGATGTACAGTTTTACCTACTTTTTTCTTTCTGCATCTATTCCTTCCTTCTGGGTCCTCTCCTTTACCTGAACCTGAGAGTACCTATTTTCTGCTGACTTACAAAATCTTTCTACAATCAAGTTGACTCTTCTGCCATGTGTAACTTGACAAATGTGAGCTAATACCAAGCGTTCGCATGTGTACTCATGGCTGACTCATTGTTAGTATTGTTGACAGCTGGGGTCAACCAGCATAGTACTTATCTTCTTCACTAACAGAAAGAAGTTGCCATGGTAATACTACTATCTTTGGGAACCTTTTTGTAGTTGCCCTTATTGTAAAGGAAGACCAGTCTAATCTCAGAATTTTAATTTATTTACTTGTAGCTTGGATTAACCCTTTGGGTAAAACCTCTTGCTTCTTGTGGTATCTGCGTTTTTGTTTCATTTCTACTTCATAATAACATCAAACTCCAGAATTATTTTCTAGTCATTACTATTCAGTAGTCTTCTATATGTTTTAGCACATGCCATGAACAGAGAAATCTCTCTACTCTATCTAAGACCTATAAATACACAGTCCCATTGATGACAATGGTGATGATAATGATTGTAATGATTTCTTGACAGACAAGAAATCATTTCTCCAGTACCCGAGAAGAGATGGAAGAACTTAAGAAAAGGATGAAAGAAGCTCCTCAGACATGCAAACTTCCAGGACAGCCAACCATTGAAGGCTATCTGTATACACAGGAGAAATGTGTGTGGGCTTGCAGCATCATCCCCTGGGTTCATGTTGGCTTGCCATGTTACCTTTCTGAATGCTGGGAATTCCTGTTTTTTGTAGATCCATACCAGATACAACTCCTGGGAGGGCAGGGTGGGGATAGAAAATTGCAAAAGAAAGCAAGTTGAGGGGGAGCTAGGTTACTGTGTCTCTAGTGTCGTAAGATCTAAATGTTTTCTCTGAGATTCAAGATAAGAATGTTAATTGTGTATGGTGAACTTAGGTTCAAAAAGGAGGTAGGGCAAAGAAGGATCATATTAATCGCAATATTATGCACAGTATTCTAAAAGCCTCATCCCATTTAATTTTCAGTTCCACATTGTGTTCATTTTACACTAGAGATCACTGAGTTTTAGAACAGGCACTAGATTCTGATACTCTTTCCAGTGTATCTTTCCTATTCCACCCACCATCCTCAGCAACTGTACAGGAGAAAGCGGTGGGCAGCATCTTAGTTTTCTCCTCACTTTGTGTTAGTAGGACTCTCCGTACACCACAACTTGAACTGGCTCCAGTGAAGTAGAATTGCCTCTAGCTGAGAACCTCTGCTATGTACTGTCTGGTGCTTCTGTGCCTGCCTCAGTTCTCTCACTTGTCAAATGGCTGTCACTCAGTTGAATGAGCACTCAGCAAGCATCACTTCTGCCAAATGCTGTGCAATACATTGAGAGTAGAAAAAAAGACGTAACATGTCTTTTCTTTTTTTTTCTCAAAGGAATTCTCAGACTGATAGGAGACATAGAAAAGTATTTTCATGAAACATTTTATGCACTGACTTATCTAAAAACTTCTCTGAGGGAGTGATGTTTGACGTAGAATTTGAATGTTCAGTGTGACAGGTAAAAAAATGGGATAAGGGTTGGGAGAGATCTCCAGGTATGTGCTGCTATACGAGTAGAGGCACAGAAATGTTGGAGAGCATACCTCATGCTTAGGTCTTGGTTTGTCAAGGGTGGCCCTTGTTATCCTGATGTAATTATTCGTTCTTAAATATATGTTGTGTGCAATCCATTTTAAATACATTTGAGTTTGTAGTACAAGTGATATGCCCATTTAAGTATTGGGAACTGAAAGTAATTCAGTAACACAGGAACACAGAGGTGAGGGTGCCCAATGACAACTCCAGAATGGTCAGTTTCATCAAATTGTTCAGGGCTTTGAAGGTGGACAAAGTTGTTTGGGCAAAGTAAGCCATGTGTGATTTGCAAGGGAAATGATATCAATGGAAATGTATTTTAAAGTAATTCTCTAGCAAAATGATGAAGATGGGTTGGCTAGGAATCAGTCAGAAACGGGGGAATCAGAGGAGTCTGTTTGAAATGATTAATGGGTAAATTTGTACTTTATTGGTAATGTTATAAGTATTAGGAAAAGAAGACAATGAGAGCTTCCCTTAACTAATTCATTACTAAAGAGGTAGGAGAAGTGGAGGTAGCTGAAGCAGAGACATGTAAGGATTGGAAAGGATACAACTCTGTGGTAGTCAAATGAGAGGTTTCAGGAAAGACGAACACTGGCATGAGCTTCTCGCTTCTGGATGTATAGGTGTCTCTCTATTCCTAGGACCTATGGCAATAGCCAAGAATGAGTATGGGAAAGAGTTGGTGAGATTCTCTGTGTGTACAGTGGGTAGGTGGGGTAGGTAAAGATGGAGCACAGGTGAAGGGCAGAGATTAACCTGGGGTTTGTCTGCACAGAGTAAGCAATAGGCTTGGACTATGCATGCATAGTATGTAGACACCTTGGGTTCAATCGCAAGCATTGGGGAAAAACAAAGAAACAGTAAACATCTTGTGCCTTGTGGAGTTGAAACCATCTGCTAGCTCACTTTTCCTATCTTTGTAGGGGCTCTGGGGATATCCTGGGTGAAATACTACTGTCGGTATGAGAAAGACACCAGGACACTCACCATGACACCAATGGAACAGAAGCCAGGTGCTAAGCAGGTCAGTTCTTGATACTGTCGCTTTGTGAGCTCATCAGTGTGGCTGTATCTCAGAAAAGAACATATATTGACAAAAGTGTCAAATAATAAAGTCTATCACTGTTGGGTAAAACTAGGATTTTACCTGTTCTCTTTGGCCTTGGTTTATGTGGGCCATGGCTAAGATCAGGACTTTGGTTATTCTTATTTGGTTTGGTTTTTGAGACAGGGTCTTGTTCTGTGACCCAGGCTGGCCTGGAGCACATTGTGTAGCACAGATATTACTTGAACTTGCAGCAAGTCTCCTGCCTCCGAATCCTGGGTGTTGGGGTTGACAGGTATGTTCCATCATACACAACACCTACCAGCAGAGTTTATGATTATGTCTTTATGTTTTCACCTATTTAGTATTACAGTTGCCTATCGCTTGTTCAAAGAACATATCTAAAACATAGAAGATTCTTTTAAGTAGTAAGTTTTAAAAATATAATTTCCAGAGTGCATTTAGTAAAAACATATGTATTATCTGTTGTCTGAAATTTGAATCACCTACACCACATTGAAATCTCTATAAGCAGTTCAAGTTTCTTCCTTTCTTCAAACCCTCTCCTACTTTCCAAAATGCCAAGGTAAGTTTAGCAAGGTAGTTTACATCCCATTCATGGATGTTTTGACAGGTGAAAACTGATCTTCACATCATTTATTTTCTGAAAGTACCCCTTTCATCTGGTCAGCGTGTACCTTTTTAAATATTTACATATTGTTGGAAACTTTAAGTATACACTCGAAGGCCTGATTTACATAACAAGGAATTTGGAGGAAACTACCTATTACTACTAATAGTTTCTGTAGATGACCAGTCCTGTATTGCTGGTACATAGAAAACTAGAGTGGGCTGATTTTGATTGCAGACTGTTGGAAACTATTTTTTGCCTTGATCTTTAAGCACAGAGCCCTCTATTTTACCTTAAATGTAGGTTCAAGCTGGGGAACACCCTTAGGTAAATGTGTCAGTAGGCTTCAGTAAATTCTTCTTGGGCTATAGCACAGAAATTGTCCCCAGTCAGCATGAATTTGTCTGTTGTATCCGAGTGACAAGTACTTGTGAGCAGTACTAGCTATAGTCTTTTTTTTCTGTTTCATGTTAGGGCTTGGGGATTGTTGATAGGGTTTTAAGTAGCTCAGAATGGCTTCCAGTTCATTATGATGTAAAGCATGACCCTGGATTTCTTATCCAGTTGAATGTGGTTTATGAGATAAAAAGCAGTGTATTCAGATCAACAGTCACTTTGGGTGGAGAGAAGAGTACATGCAATGTCATGGAGTCATTAAAGGGTATGATTTATGTGTGAAATGTTTTGCACCTATGGAACATAAAATATTTTTTGGTGACTGTAGATGCAGATGGAGTGCTATGGATGGAGTCTAGGATCCTAAGCTGCTACATTGCTGATGCTAAATGGTGTGAAAGCTAAAGAGGGATGATGCCTATATGACTCTGTCACCCACTTTAAGAAACTTGTACATGGCATCCCAATTGTTAGGATAAAAATGGCATACTAAAGACTTAATGGAGGGTTGAGTTCTTGTGGTGGAAGCAGAAAGGATTGGCCCATAAAAGGCCAAACACACTGAGTAGAGTACCAGCTAGTTAGCCAAAGAGCATCAAGACCTGAAATTATTTATACATTGAGTTTCATTCATTTTTACATTTTAAATTCTGAGACAGGATCTCACTGTGTAATCCAGACCAGTCTTGGACTTGTCCTTCTCCCTCAAGTTAGAGTGTTGGGATTATAGGTGTGCATATACCACTGTGTTTGAACTGGGTATCATTCTTGGCTCTGTGATCTAGTTACTTTTTGACTTTGAGTAAACTGGTATTTGCCAGTGATATATAATGTTTGGGATGGCATAGAGAGTAGGCCCATAATGCTAGTGTTATTTAATAGATTGTAAAGTTAAGACTTATAGAGGGAAACTGATTTGCCAGGGTCACATAACTAGGAAAGGGATTAGCTAAGGCAGTACCCTAGATCTTAAGCTTCCTGGTTTAATGCTACTTTTACTATACCAACTTGCATGACAGTCAGCCATTTTACTGCCCAGATTCCCTACTATGTAAGGGCTATAGTGAGGGACGTTCATGTAAAAGCCAATGCAAAAAATAAAAAATAACCAGTTACTTAAAAATACCATGTATAGTGTGTGGTTCATTGTGTTAACTAAACCTTGCCTCCCTTTTGGTGTCACTAGAGGAAAACAAGCAACGGAGAATCATGTGGTTTGTCTGTGGCAGATTTGTTTTCTCACAGTACTGTTAGGAACCACACTATCCCACATGTGTCAAATATAAAAATCTTGCTTTGATTAATACAAATTTGCTTATTTTTCCACTCTTTTCCTAGCTCTGGGGAGAGTGTTTTTATGATTTTTGTCATCCTGAAGGTGTGCAGTACCTCATCTAGGAGGAAGCGTCTAAACTCTACTTTTTTCACACATCCCAAGGATGACTTTAGATAGCTACTTGTGCACTTGCATCGTCCCTTCTCAGAAGCCTCCTGAAATTTTTATTATGTGTACTTAATGTCATTTGGGCCATCCATTTCTCCTGCACTGCCCTTAGGTGATGTATTTTGGGCTTCTTATTGAATCTGTCATGCTTGGGAACTTGCCTATCCTGCATGGTTTTCCCTTGTCTTAGCCACTCATGCTTAGAACCGTGAGAAGCCAGCTACCATGATATTGCAAGGTTGGTTCTCAGTGAGTCAGCACATTGCTCCTGTAGTCTTGGTTGACACCATCCAAGTGAGCCTGAGGACAATGCAGGAGACAGAAGAAATGTCTGTGCATTTAAAATAAGAGCTTGTTAATGCTTCTCTCATATCAGGGGCCCATGGATTTAACTTTGAAATACTGTGTGAGAAGAAAGACAGAGTCAATTGACAAGAGGTTCTGTTTTGATATAGAAACGAATGAAAGGTAAGTTGTGGTGCTGTGAATTTATGGAGTCAGTATGCACTATCCATGTGTTTGGCTGGGTCTTGTATTTTCCTCTTCCTTCTTGTTGTTGAAAATGAGCCCTTTATACATAGGCCAGTGTCTTGCCCCTCAGTTTGCCCTTCACAAGGGTCCCTGTGAGACCATGCCCAGGGCTGGTTTGTTTGCTTGTTTTTGTTTTTATTTTCTGTATATCCCTCAGCCACATTTACTTGACTGACTGGCTCTGGGCAGAAAGTCTTCCCCTAGAACTTAATTTGCTGTCATACATGTAATTATTTTTCTTTCTTAATGCTGTGATGCTGACAGAATAACCATGCTTGTTCTTTTAAGACACTCTTGGTATAACTTAGAAAGTTGATTGACACAATGTTTAAAGGAAGACAGATAGGGCAAAGAGTAGAGGTGGTTTGGGGAGTTTTTCATACTCACTGTAAAATGATGCAAGCTTTTCTTAATTCGAAGATATGTATTTGAACTAGATTAGTTTGTTGACCCCAAATATTAGAACCACTGCTAGCAATATGGGTCATGAAATTTTCCAAGTCAGGATTTCTCTATATAACAGTACTGGAATTCACTCTATAGACCAGGCTGGCCCCAAACTCACACAAATCCGCCTGCCTCTGCCTCCCAAGTGTTGGGATTAAAAGTGTGCACCACTGACTGGCAAAGATTTCTATTTGTCTTTTTATTTATTTTACTTTGAGACAGGGTCTCACTATGTAGATGAGGCTGACCTCAAGCAGAGTATCCTCATGCCTCTGCCTCAGGAGTGCTAGGACTAAAGATGTGCGCCACCACTCCTGGCTTTGGAGCATGATTATATTATTTTTCTCCAATGCCTTCTTTTTCTCTCCCCTGTACCCAAGCTATCTAATGAAGGACAATTCCACCTTATGCTTTTAAACCCCACCTTCAGTGGATTCTGACTTCCCTGTGTGACCCTGTAGCATCTCTGGTTTCTCAACATCAAGGTTCTTAAAAGTGACTACATTTTCCATGTCTGATTCCATGTTTTAGCTTAACTTTGCCAGCTACCTATAAATAATATCCCCAACTCAACGCAATTGCAAACAGTTTGGCCCTGGGTGAGAAACTGGGTCACTTTACTTTTATGTTTCTTGCACAGTGTGATATGCTTGTCTCATTGTAGGTAGCAAATTTGTTAATTCTTAGATATGTTGTGGGATTTTATTTCCCAGAATTTTGAGACTCTTTTAGAGTAGAACTCAGGAACTAAAAGTTATGATGCGTCTGTGACCTTAGTTACCATTTTATTTGCACTTTAAAAACCACTGTCTTATTGAATCATCTCACCCCATTTTATACCTGAAGACACCAAGAGTCAAATATATTAACTGATTCTGTAGGAAGGCAGGATCTTGGTCTGTGGGTCTCCATTTCCTTTGTTATCTTATGCCATTATTGATTATAATAGTCAATATCCTAATGAAAAGATGCTGACACACCTCTCTGCAAGAGGGACTTTGTCAGGCCTGTGGCAGCCACTTCCCCTTTTTTCGGGAAGATCAAATAGCTTTACAAAGAATGATGTTTATACCCATATTTGAAATTGCAGGCTCATATCAGAAGGAGTTTAGCAGGTTTTAACAATAATGTCAGCAAGTGATGTTGCTTGCCAAGTGCATCCTGCCTGTTAGACCCTGTTCTCAGCCCGTGAAATGTCATTTTCATTAGTCTCATCGTATAGAGTAGAGGTTGGTATTCCTCTAGTTCACAAAGGATGAAAAATAGGCAAAGGAAAGTTAACCAGTTGGAATAATGCAGCTTCTAAATGGTAGATCCAAGGCTAAGTCCAGGTGTTTGAATCTCTTAGAAGGCCACCTCCTTAACCATTGCACTGATGCATATGTGCCATACTTTGCCTATTGGTTCCAGATGGGCAAGTGGACCTTCCAGGAGGGTAAACAATTTGTCTAATGTCATAACTAATCCTACATGAGGGAGCCTGGACCAGAATCCTACATGAGGGAGCCTGGACCAGAACTCAGTCCTTTTTCCAGGCTTCTGTCTTGTCCTTAATATTCTTTTAATTTGACTATTTGTGGCACTAAAGAATCTCCAAATTCAGGCAGGAGCATCTCAGTGAGTTCAAGGCCAGCCTGGTCTACAAAGAGAGTTCCAGGACAGCCATGAATGTTACCCAGGGAAAACCTGTCTCAAAAGAAAAACAAAAACAAACAAACAAACAAGAAAACAAAGTCTCCAAATGCTTCCCTAGTAGTTGCACATTTAGTCAAAAGCAAGCCTGTGCCTCGGGCTGCTAGCTGGATTTGATGAGTGTCGCCAGAGCACTTCTTTCTCTGCCTGGTTACTTTCATGTCTCTTGTTTATTTTCTTGCTCTCCTTCCATTTAGCTTTGCCATTTGGATGATAGCTATCATCATAGGCTTTCCAGTCCTGCAATATGTATCCCAAAGGATGAGGGTTTTAGAGAAAGGTGAATTTGCACGAGTCTAGTTTCTAGAGCCAATTGCTGGCTTTTTTGGTTACTTTTCTCTTAAAGATCATTTGGCTTGCTGGGTAAGGGGTATTTGGAATGAAAGAGGCAAGTATGACAGGAGTCCCCTGATGGCAGCACTGGGAAGTACTTCCCATAGTGTATGTTCCAGCGCCCTTAGAGATGAAGAAGTGGCGTGCAAAGAGGCATAGTGATCAACCCAGAATCGCTGAATGTTCTTGTTACTGCCTTACCTCATGCACCTCAGAATGAGGCTGGATGACACAGAAAGGTGAGAGGCAAGCTTATGATGTTGCTAGCCAGAGACTGTGCCAAGGCTTCTTGCCTGCAAGAATATGGTCAGCCCCAGCTTGGTTCTGAAGATCAAAATATATTATACTAGGTATATCAATCTTTAATGTACCTGGATAAAAACAGTCTTCTCCCAGTTCATTGCCTTAATACCCGAGCATAAGCATCAGAAATTCATTTCTTAGAGTTATACGGTTGGAAGTTCAAGATCACGGGGCTAGCAGGTTTGGAGACTGGGAATCTTGGTTTCCAAGATAGTGCCTTACTTCTTCATCCCCCGGAAAGAACACATGGAAGAAGGAATAGAAGGGGATGGACCCACCTCTTCAAACTTTCCTATAAAGGTGTCTTGTCACTTCCTCCATACTCAACTTATTACTATTGTCTCATTGGTGATTACATTTAATAAAAAAAAGTTTGGAGTGTGTGTATGGATGTGTATTTATATTTTCAGACCACAATACATGGCCAAGTAGTGAATAGAATAAAACAAAGTTTGAAGCAATTTGCCACAGATAAGAGGCCATATAGTGTAGTTGTTAAAAATCTGGTTTGTGAAGTACATTGCATACATGTATGAAAATGTTCTAATAAAATCCATCATTTTGTACATTGAATATCCACTAATTGAAATTCGATAAAAAATGATTAAAGAAGCACAAGACACCATTCTCTCAGGTGAATTTTCTGATTTTAAACTTATCTTTTTTCCATTCCAGACCAGGAACCATCACTCTGCAGGCGCCTTCAGAAGCAAATAGAAGGTTATGGATGGAAGCCATGGATGGGAAAGAACCTGTAAGTAACCTTAGACACACACACACACTTTCTCTCTGTCTGTCTCTCACACACACAGGGGTGAGTGGAGAGAGAGAGAGAGAGAGAGAGAGAGAGAGAGAGAGAGAGAGAGAGAGAGAGAGAGAGAGAGAGAGAGAGAGAGAGAGAGAGAGGAGAGCAACATCAACAGCATAGGCCAGTGTATGAGGGCCCTCTAGTGGTTCCAGTGAGGAAATGGCCGTGGGTTAATCAGATTCTAAATCTTAGTGCTAGAACGAATTGTTACTGCTGATGTCTTGCATAATCCAACTTCAGTTCTAGAGGTGAGGGAATTCCCTAGGATTTGTCTATGATTGCCTCCAGAGAAGGCACCAAGACCCCCTGCCTCTGTATTAAACTCTGTAGCTATTCCCACAAATTCTTAAGAATGAAAAGTAATCCCTCTTCCTTTTATAGAATTGATTTGCTCATATAGAAGGGTGGAAAATAATTGTCATGGATGTAAGTAAGCCTCCATTTGGCATTCATTTAAAGCGATTTTTTAGCCTCTCTTGCACCAGAAACTCTGTTTGTTCTCTTGCAGAATTCAGTGTTAGGCAGGTAGAGAGAAAAGTTCCCTAGCAGAGTCCGATACAGATCTAGATGTAGAACAATAAAAGCAGAAATCATTGAAAAGCACTGTCTCTTCAATATTGTTCTAGTAGTTTCTTTTAGTGGCATAGAACATAACGTGAGCTTTGTGGTGTTTGAACTACAAATGCCTGGTCCTGGCTTTGTTGTTACATGGCGAGGACTTTAGCAAGTTATTTTAGTTCCTGTCCCTCAATTTTCTTCTTCTTAATGAAATGTTTTTTTTAATGATTTCTATTCTATGTATCTCTGAGGATTACTTTGATAAATCAAGTGAAAACCATCCTACAAACAGCAGAGTGCTAAATTAGTTTTGGGTCTTCTTCCCTGGTTGGAAGGACAACTGTAGGACTATTACAGTATTACCTCCTTGCTCTCTTCAAGTGGAGAGCTGAAAAGCTAGCCTGTTGAGGGAAACATATTCTTTCTTTGTGTCTTCTGTTCTTTGTGGAGGATAGAGGCATAATTAGGGCCAGTGATGGCTTAGTGAGTAAAGGTGCCTGCCATCAAGCCTGGGACCTCCTGAGTTCAGTTATCTAATCCCTGCATGGTTGTCCTCTGACCATCACATGTGCTGTGACATGCAAAGCCTTTGCATGTTCACTCCCTTTCCTGCACTTGGTCTCCCTGTAGGCTTTTGAAGATCAGAAGATATTTGTTGTGGAAAATGATTCTAAAGCATAGATCGCCTGAATATGCAGCCTCACCGGCTTGATTGCCGCAGACTTTCCTAAGCTCTTGTTTACAAAAGTCACAGCAAATGCTGCACAATGCAGAAATGCCTCTCACTGTAATATTCATGAGAATGCTGACATATATAGCACGTTTCCTTTGAAAAGGAGAGGCTGGGCTTAATCCCCTCAGCCTCACCCCATTAGTGTTGCTGCCTCATTAAATGCCAAATCCACTGATTATACGTGTTATGTGTATGCCTCTGCTTCAACTGTCCTAGAGGATCATGGCTTGAGGAAACATTGGTTCCAAACCTGATTGTTGTATTGATGGGAAACATGAAATTTAGAGAATGGAAAGCACATGTCCAGTCTCCTAATGACATATGGGCACAACAAAGACCAGTCTCAAAGAAGCCCAAATCTTCATACTGGCCTTGTACATAGTAATTGGAGTACACACTTCAAGATGACTCTGAGACATTCACCAGTCTCCTTCAGCAGAATTCTTGCCTTTCGAAAGAGAGGCATCCGTTAGCTATTTTACTGTTTATGCCCATTACCTGGGTGTCCTTGAGAAAACCCTTCTTTTATTATATCTTGTTCCACCACTGAAATGCCCTAAGCTTCACCTAAGGAAATATCTAAGGTGAGTCAGCTGCAGCTTCTGTGAACATCTACAGTTTTCAGGGACTGTGTTTTCTGGGGATCTGGGCAAAGATAACTCTGTTTAACCGCCTTTCCTTTGTTGTTACAGCTTTGATAGTCTGTCTAGGGAAGGAAATTCAATCCTGGTTGCCCTGCTTATCTGTAGTGAGTCACGATAACTGAGCCTTTTTTGGTTTCTCTTCTTTTGTAGATCTACCACAGCCCTATAACAAAACAGGAAGAAAGTAAGTAATTCCCATTTTATACTCTCCTGACATCATAAGCGCAAAGCTGTCCCAGTGATGACAGTACATGCTAATATTGGTGACATACACCATTCATGCAAATCTGTGTATCATGAAACCTCGCCCTGATTTGAAATTGTGTATTCATTGAACTAGGGAAGTCAATCCATTGAAACTTATGGTGTGAATGGTACTGAGGATGCAGAGAATATATTGTCTCCTCCTTGTTCTAGACAGATGACCAGAATTGTGTGCATTTCCATAGTAGCATTTCATATTTGATGTTGCTCATGTTTAGGGTAGATGTGATATACAGAGCTAAATGGAAACATTTTGTGTTATAAAAGTCTAAACCTACCCTGAGCATGGCATCATTCAATCTAAGTTGAGTGGAGATGAGCCCCAGCCCTCCCAGTACTCTTAACACAGTTCCTGTGACTCTTGAATGTTGGGAAGGTACTTCTTATTATGCTCTGAGCTAACTCTCCTTTCCTTTCCTCGAAACAGTGGAGCTGAATGAAGTGGGGTTCAAGTTTGTTAGGAAGTGCATCAATTTTATTGAGACCAAAGGTAAGATCTAAACCATCACCTTGAAATGGCTGAATTTGGCCACTCTGCTTTTATCCTAAGGAACCGTCTCTAAAGTAAGCTTGACACTGTCTGTTAGTCAGGCCCTGTCTGTAGGATGGCAACTTTTTAAAAATAAATCTCATGTTTACCAATTTAATCGGTGGTCGGACTTGGAAGAGTGGAGGCTAAAAATGAGGCAGACTGAAGTCTCATGCAATAGCAAACTTTATTTAGAGCCTCAGACAATTTACACTCTAAGGGTTAAGAAAATTCACATTAGTAAAGAATACAATCACAAGGACAAACCACATGTGGCAAACCATGTTTTTCTGAAGAGGCATATAAATAAATGACAATAGCCAGTTGTAAAGAATAATTTCAAGTAGACTCACTCCCATGTGCTACACACGGGAGGGGCATAAAAACATAGTCCAAGGACAATTCTGTGTTTTTGAAGATACTGAGGTCACAAGATTCCTGTGTTCTTGACATTTTCTCGCAAGCATTCAGAATTCCCCTAGCACAGCTCCATTTCTGGACTGTGGTCCCACAGCTTGTATAGTGGACACATTTGTTTAAATTCAAGCCAGTTCTAAACTGGCTACCATCATAGCATTCCTCATCCAAGCATATATGCATTCTGCGTGTTCCCACTTTTAGAGAGGAGAGCCTTGCAATGACTTGGAATGCATTCTGAAACAGCACCTAGGGTTCCTCAAGCAGTTCAGTGGTAGTTCCATCTCAATTGACCAAGAGCTCAGCTTCTACCACAATATCATTTTATTATCAATGTAAAAATTGATGGGGTCGAATCTAAACTGGGGCTACATAGAATCAGCATGTTTCTTCACGAACCAAAGGTCTTTGTTTCCTTCTGAGGATGCTTAGAATGCTGGTGTATGAATCACTCTGTTTTCTTTGAAACTTTGCTTCAGCCTTTCTCAGCACAAAAACGGACTTTTGCTTCATATTTTCCATATTCCAACCCTCTCCTCCTTTACATCACAGCTTGAGAGGAAAACGGGGGGGGTATTACCTCCTTGTCTCTTAATCGCTAGTTCCCTTCCAACATGGCTGACTGTTCTCATCTATCTATTGTGACTCAATGAAACACATGATTTTTATTTCTTCTATGGTGTGTTTTCTCTTCCCTTCAGATTAATAGGGGACATGTGCAATCCAGTGGAGTTGTGATGAATAATTTTTTGATACGATTGGGATGGTAACAGGGGAAGGCCGGATAACTAGAAGAGAGAAGAGGGTCTCTTTGTTGTCTGTAACTGACACCAGTGTACAAGGGCTTCCTTCCTCTGTCTTGGGGAACATAAAAGCTGGAACTATCCTAATGAAGATCTGATTTTCTTTTCCTAGGGATCAAGACAGAAGGGTTATACCGCACAGTGGGCAGCAACATCCAGGTTCAGAAGCTGCTTAATGCCTTTTTTGGTAACAATTTTACATATTGTTTAATTGGGAGTGGTTTATGTAGAAACAAATGTAACTGAACGAGAAAAAACACATCTCAGGAAGGTCGAAGAACATTTGAATTTGAGTTATAGTCATGTTTTTGTTGCTCAGAATAGTCTCAAACTCCTAGACTCAGTCATCCTGCCTCAACCTCTCAAGGGTAGCCATACCTGGCCTGTAGAATATTATGAACATGTTTTCAGAGGAGAAACAGACAACTATTGTGCACACCTTGAGTCACAGACCATCGTGCATTGAATACATGTCTGTCCCCTCTCATCTTATTCACTCATCAGGCCCTAGGAAATCCAGTTCTACCGCTACCTCTTTGCTGGCACTTCTCTGGCCATGATGGTCATGTATGTGCTTGGCAAGTGCAAGGAGCACTCCAGTCTGTCTTACTCACTTTCTGGTTGAACACTGTTTCCTTCCTGGGAACTGTCTCCTTACTTGACTCCCATGATAGAATACTCCACTCATTCTTTTAACATTTAGTGCTGCTGAACAGTCAAGAGACTTCCTGGATCCACTTTCCCCTCCTACCGTTTAAAGTTTTAAAGGCATTTACCAGAGTTCTGTCTTGGCATGCCTTTACTTTTTCCTCTACTGAGTGATATTTATCCTGGATGTGGTTTGCATTTTCCTTTTAAAAGTGTGTGTATGTGTGTTGTCATCTTTATTGGATGTCTACTGTTAGGACTTACTGAGTGTCTTATTTTCATTGAGTAAAAAGTATTAAGGTGGGTTTTTTTGGAGGGTTGTGTTTGTTTTGGGATTTTTGTTGTTTTTTTTTGTAGGTAACTATCAATTCAAGATTTTTTTGTAAGTTTGTTAGAGCAGACAAAGTGTTCTCTACTGACCTGTTTAGACTCCCAAGTAAGTCTTGACTTCTCTTATGTCTTCTTATGTCTTCATTCTTAATGACTAGAACATAAATTTGAGGTGGGAGACAGGGCTCAGTGGCTAAGTCAGTTGCTATGCAAGTCTGAGGACCTGAGTCTGAGTCCCCAGAACTTGTGTAAAAGCCAGATAAGATAGGGATCATCTATAATCCCAGTGTACGTGTGGCAGAATGGCTAGTGGAGACAGCCATTCTAGAAGCTTGTAGGCGAGCTAGGCTAGCCATGTCTCAGTGAAGAAGAAAGTGTCTCCAAAAGTTTAGATGGTGAGGAACTGCGTTAGAGAATGTGCTCTGACCTCCACTTTCCAGCCATGGCATGTACAATCCTATACTCAGGCACACACATACATGCACACATACCCGAATATACAAACTACGTACACACACACACACACACACACACACACACACACACACACACACACACGTCCACTAGCTCTGTGAATTCTTGGCATTTTACAGCAAAATACTCCCTTAGTTTTTACCTAGCCTGTGGAGTGTCACCCTGTCTTTATTATTTATACAAGGCTTTGTATTTAGCTGCTGAGGCAAGGAGATCCTTACATAGGTTTTGGCCACTGCTTTCTCTACGTAGATCCTTCTTATTTTGTACTCTGCTGTGTACATTCCCTTTTTTTTCTTGTAGTGCTGGGGATGGCAGTGAGGGCTTTATGTGTTCAAGGAGAATCTTCTACCACTAAAGACCATCCTCAGCCCATGCCTTAGAAATTCTAGCTAAACTTCTCAGAAGGTTTTTTCCCCCTTCTGGTTTCTTCAGTTGAATAAGATGTTAGCTAGCTAAAGGGAGTTTTCTAATTCCCTTTGTTATTTAGATAGCATTTTCAGATAGCATGCTGTGGTGAAGGCAGGGCTTTCCTTTCAGTGTCCATTTTGTTAGCCAGAGCCCTGTGCTGTCTATTCAGTGGATAAAGGCAGTAGCCCCATATAGTTTGTCTTATCTTCTAATCATTACGACAAGACAACAAATCTTGTGACAGTTGTCCTACTGTGTCTGGGAGTGAAAATTTTTCTGTGTGTTTGGTACCAGCACCTATGTGCTGCAATCTCAGAATTTCCATTCCAGACTTCTGAGTTCTAAGGATACAGATGCTGTCAGTTAAGCCCATGCTTCTGTCTTGCTTTGGTCCTGTCATACCCGAGAATGTGTACAGACTACCATCATTGTGTCTGTATAGCACACTGGGAATAGCCAAGACAGTAAGCTGTAAAACTCAAGGAATCAACACTAGACTCTCTGTTGATGCTCCCTGTATAGATAGTTCATAGGTGCTTATGTTTTCTGTGACTAAAATGAAACACATTCTTTTTGTTCACTGTAAGCCGCTCATCTTCCTTTTGTGAGTGATGGTGAGGTGTCTGGTAAGCTTAGCTTTTACAAAGTGTCAGAGGACAAAGTGTGTGGAAAGCTGAAGCTTGGATAAAGTGCATAGTTTTCAGATTTCCTTTAAAGATGGCCAAGGGGAATGCAGTAGACAGGTAAAATTGAGATTGTCAATCAGGTGACCTTGACAAGGAGTTTCCCCTGGTTATCCTGGGAGACTCTAATTCACAGGGGCTTTAACATGGGAGAGGAATTCAGGAAAGAGAGCACCAGAGAGACAGCACATAAATATTCAGTCCAATGCTTTCAGAAGATAAGGAGCTGAAAAAGTGCAGCAAAAGCCAAGGAGTAAGGGTTACTCTCCAGATGACAAGCAGTACTGCTACAAGGCACTGTTAACTCCATTACTTATACTGGTTTTAAGACACCCTTTGCACTTCATTTGTTGGCTTCATTCCCATGGGCTCTCATTAAAACTATTATCACTTAATTTGTTGGCTTTATTCCCATGGGCTCTCATTATAACTATTATCCATGTTTTTTTTCCCCCAGCATAATGTTGTAAAACTGCTATAGCTTCAAATCAGTTTCTTTATGTCATCAGCTAAACTCCCTGAAATTATTGGCACATAGAGCAACCATTATATCCCTATTTTTATTAGTTCACTAACCCTATGTATGGCTTCATAAAAATGAAAATGTTGTTCTGTTTTCTTCTCCATATAGTGAGAAATGCCTGTGTGGCTGGGCAGAGCCTTGCAATGGGCTTTGCTCTCTCACAGTGTATATGCATATATTTGCAAGTCATATATTTAAAAGAAACGTTGAGATGAAAATTTTCAATAATACACACTGGGGAACATTTTGCCTCCTACTGGCTACTGACTTAGGTCTGGGGAAAAACAATGTTGATTATTCTGTAACAATTTGTTTCCAGGTAACTGGAACTCTACAAAATGGGATGCTGTTCTGTGAGTCTGGAATTGACGTTGTATCACAGGTTCTATCCTGGAAGACTGAACTTTCCCCCATGGCTTTCCCTCTCTGTTCTAAGTAATTAGATTTGTGAAATTGTCTAGCTCAGAAATTAGAATGGGGCAGTGCTTTATACAAAACAAAGAGTCTAGGGAAAGAAACATGCTTCTTGAGTGTAAGACACAATTGAACATGCTTATGACATTTTAGAATTACCAGGGAATAGAGGAATCTAAAACCTTGCTACAGTAGATTATTAGCAATTGCCAGTGTTATTCATTTGAAAGTCATTCATTTTCAGTAACTGTAAATGATTGACTATTTCCTTTATTTGTAGATATTTCCTCAACTCAGTTCATTTTTTCTTTACTTTTTTATTTTTGAGACTGTAATTTAATTCCAACCTTTTTCCCTTTCCTCCCTCAAACCCTCCCATATGACCCTCCTCACTCTTCTTCAAATTCATGATTTCTTTTTGCTTCAATTGTTATTGCACACATGTATGTATTTTTCTATACACATATATTCCTAAATATAACCTGTTAAGTCCACATAATGTTACTTGTATGTATGTTTTCAGGGCTGGCCATTTGTCACTGGACAACCAATTGGTGTGCTCTTCCCTCAGGAGACTCACTCCTCCCACTCCCAGATTTACTCAGTTGCCTGTAGTTTTTAGTGTGGGGTTGGAGGTCTCATGGGCTTTTCCCCATCTGGTTTGGCATGTTCTTTGTTGTCCTCATTGTTAAGGTCATGTTTGGGCAGCCTTGTTGATGGAACTTTACAGATGTAGCTTCAGATATTATATGGAGACAAAGTCTCACAGTCAAGTCCCTAATCATCTGGCTCTTAGAATCTTTTTGCCTCCTCTTCCACAATGTTCTGTAGGGACTGGGCTTTACATCTCTGCATTTTGATTGGTTGTAATTTTCTGTGACAGTCTCTTTGTTTTGCAAAGAGAAATTTCCATGATGGGGATGATGATTATGCTTACCTGTGTGATATAAGGACAAATGTTTATATATTGCTCTTAGGGATCATGCTGTTTTTTTAAGTTAGTGGTTGTGAATGCTCTTGTAATAACCATTAATTCATTAGCACTGAGTAATTAGGTTGCTAGTACCAGATATTGTATCCCTCTTGTGGAGCAGGTGTTAGGTTCAATTAGAGAGCACTTGGTAACCACCAAAGTATGTGTGCAAGTTATCTGTGGAGTAATATGTTGAGGCCTTTGGGTGTATTACAAAGAGTGCTATAGTTGTCACCCTCTTGATTTCTGTTGATGTCTTGGAGTCCCTAAATTCTCTGTTTGAAGCCACTGCATGCAGATGAACTATTCTTGAACACACTCTGTGTATTATTGAATACTTGTATGTACCAGCTACTGTGTTGGATAGTGGGGATATAGTAGTGAAAGGCAGACAAGTCTCTGCCCTCAGTGAGCATAGAACCTTGCAGAACTTACAGGTCATAGATGACTTTATCTTTTCCTCTCAAAATAAATTCATACTATCCCAGTTATAGGATCCTGTTGATCTGCATCAGTGAGAATCAGGTTATAAAATCATATAGGTGGGCTGGCCATGTTGGTTTATTGGGTATATTGATTATACATGATGATATATATTTCTATCCCAGATTGGGCTACATAGCAGGCCCTGTCTCACAAACCACAGCCAGCAGCAGCAACAACAAAAAGAAACATTATAAGCAATTAGAGAAAATAGTTTCATAAAAAACAGTAAGCTGTTTCCTAACTTG